GCACTTTACTTACGGGTTGACTTGATTATCTGTCTCTATACCTCTCTGTCTGCAATTCAATTATTGCCGTCACTTTATTTGCCGGCTTATATACTAAAATAGAGGGCGCCGAGCAAATACTGGATTATTCGTGATGTTCCCCGATCCTTCTAGAAAATCATCACGTGTTACCAGGGTCACGTAACTTCCGCTGTCGTAACAATATCTATTCACTTTCATGATGTTAGAAAAACACGTAGGTTCAAGAAGTCTTGGTAGAAATGAATAAAAACCATACAACCCGACATTTCTTCTTCAGGGGCAAACAGTTTGAAGAATTTAAGTGATGATACGCACAACACACGATTGCAAATTCAGATACTTACATGGACATTGTCCTGAAAGGGGTAGGAGCAAGTGCGGTTTACTCCGACCCTCATGTCGTATCTACATTAACATTCATCTGTTCCAAAACCGTAGTTAGGAAAGGCGGAAGAGGTCTTTTGTACCTGACCCTCCCTGATTTATTAAGACCAAAATCCCGATCCCGAAGCTGAAGTCTGTGAACTTATCGGGGAACGACTTTTTGGGTGTAATATTTAAGTAGTTTTCAAATGAAGTCGCTCAAGAGTAAATAAATAAAATTAATAAATAAACGAGTTTGGCAACAATTACATTAATTATTTGATTTTTTTTTCTAAAGTTAACTTACCTAATTGCTTTTTTTTTTGTCTAGTATTTCGTATTTGAAATGAATTATATATTTTTATAAACAGTTATCAAACACGTAAAACGTTATTTAAAATGTAGACGTTATCACATTTCCTGAGTATCATATTAACATATTTTTATGATAAAATCAATATATTTATTTTCAAAAACGTGAGAGTGCCCTCGAGTGGTGATACGAAGCATGACGCTCTTTGTACACTTTCGACACTTATAAAGTTAAACAACAACTCATAATGAGATATTTATAAGTGATCGTCATGCTTCTGTTGTTCTGTAGGCCGTGTAAACACTCACCAAATTAATACAGTGGTATGGCAAGTAAGAAAAATATGCACACGACATAGATAAATTATTCTAAAAACGCCATCAAAAATAAGAGCGTAGTAGCTAGTTTCAGAGATTTCCGTAACTAAATGAATTTAACATACACGCATAATAATACGTGATAGAAATTCCGGTTACAAAATCATCACTTTTATTTTCCACTTGTTTTCAGTCAACGTGTAAGCTGTATTTTAGTGTTTACTAGCTGCCTTCGCTCTAGTCTTTAACTGCTAATTTAGGGACGGCTAGCGCAGACAGCCTTCGAGTAGCTTTGCGCGAAATTAAAAACGCAAACTATGCGTTTATTTTCTAACAAAGTGAACAAAACTGAGGAGACGTTTTACGTTTCATGTTTTGTGATCGTTATCTATTTTTTTCTCTCTTAGAAATACTGTGACACTTGTTTAATTTGAAATAGTAATGTCTTAGGATGGATTATAATAAATATTTATAACATCAAGTCATTTTTATAATGAAAGAAAACAAAAGTGCAGCATCAATGTATTATTATACTTTCTAGAATAAGAATATTGCGCAAAATTTAAGCAATAAAATTAAATTTTTTATTACAGAGTAGTAGACTGATTTGTATTGTTTAGCTTTTGGGTGATAAAATATAAGAAAACGACAAGTAAGATAGAAAGTCCTTGTAAACTTCGTACGTAAATGGTAGTTCATACTGTTACGTCTCCGTTTGTTAATTAATTTTCCGTAAATTCGTTCCGACGAAACTTTAGCGACACAAGTCCTTTTTTAAATAAAACTAGTTTATTCTTTCCGAATACAACTTTACGATACACTTAATTTCAACAGTCGCTCTATAACAACGCTATAACTCACATCTCACGTGGCCAACAATATTTTGTCCGCATACATTCAATTACTCATTGCCTCGTCACGTTGTGACCATCTTATATATACCAGACTACCCC